TGTTCTAGTGACTATAAAGGCCAAATTTGTGATCGGTCGAAAAAGCTTTTTCGATTCGTGCGTAGGAGGAGCATTCGCACGCAGCCAGAACGGCAACTGTCGTACATATGCCATACACCGATGTTCTTATTAGGTAGGCGGTTTGCCTGCCATAGTGCCATATGCACCATTGATGTACTTCTGTTTTGCGTACGCATATTGCCACATATATGCACCATCGACGCTCCACCAGTAATTTTAATTTTGGTTTGGAATATTTGCCTAATTTCTGCTCAAAGAAGTCTTTGGATACTTAATGATTAGTTACTCGTGCTAAATGCGACTAAAATTAATAGACATTTATAAGAAACCTAATATTATACTGCTGAATGATAAAGTTTTCACTAACCTCCCGAGCAACGAACTCATCTCGAAAAAGCCAGGTAAGGTGAAGAACCAGCGTTAGTAGCTCGTCACGCTGGAACAAAGAAAGTGATTTTGTTGGAATGCAGAAGTGGAGAGTAAATTTCTTAAGTAACAAATCAATTGAGTGTGAAATAACATTTTCCCTGAATATATCAGTCGTCCCAATAATTAATTTTTTAATAATAGGTCCTAGATCATCGTTCTCATCTTTTCGTTCGCTGTCCTTGCGTTCCTCGTCGCCCAATATATACTAGTGCTGAAACTGGCGCGCAAATATTACTGAAAAATATAGGCTAAAACTGTAATAGAACCTAAAAAATCTTCTACGATATCTAATAAAAAATTATACTTGATTTAGTTAATCATCGAATGTTCGTAATATGTTAATGTGGCTTCGTTCTATATTTTAGGAACTACATCGCTAAGAAGGACTTGATGATGGAATGAGTTTTTCACTATCGCATGGACTAAGTATATTGCAACACTAGGAAGGTTGCGCCTGCAAGAAAACCATTACATTCTAAGTCCATGCAGGAGTCACTACAATTCTAGACGCAGTCGTTAATTGTAACGAAATTTGCAAAAAAAAAAACTTGAACGGCCGTGAGGTTTCATCGTCACGTCATTTTCTTCACGGTGATTAAATAATAAAAGTTATATGAGGAAGATAATTCTAAATTTAGATAATAAAAAAATGATAAATACGCCATCTGTTACTAATTTTACAGTTTACGATGCACCTGGAACATTGAAGGTTTTACGCGCAAAATTAGCAACTGAACTTAGTAGACACAAAAGGCTCATATAGTTATTTAGTTTTTGTGCCACGATGAGTGAGTTCAAGATGCTAGTCCAGCCTATTGAAGCGACCACTTTTACTAATGGCAACAAAAATAAGCGAAAAATGCTACGAATGCGTAACTTCAACCAAGAAAATTTGAACAACAATGTATTTATAATGAGGTCGGTGATAATAAACAGTAACTGCGGAATGTTCAACATTGGAACTCGAGGAAGTTCTTACGAAAGTGAGGCGACGATGAATGTATTCAGATTTTAGAAAGATCTTTGAATTTATGCACGATATTAATTAATGCACAGAGTCTAGTTTTGGTTTTACCAAAAGTAAATACTTGATCAGGATTTCAATTTCTGGGAGCCGATGTTCGACTATTCTGAAAAATATAACTCAGTACTCACTGCAGTGAGTGACAGAGAGCGCATTTTCTCGTCGACGAAAACGCGAAGTCACGGACGGACAGACAGACGGACGGACGGACGGACATGACGAGCACAATGGCAAATTTTTTCCATAAATGAGAAAAGGCGCTAAAAAATTTTTTCGAAAAATGAACGCAGCGTACCTTCTTGAGGAGGATGTCAGGAACACCGAGCAGTATATTACCAACGGCCATTGTGAGCGCCAAATAAGCGATGGTAACGATGCTCACAAATGGTAGTTTGTTCTTCATGAGGAAGAAAAGAAATGCGCTTATGATGGCAGTGCACACCATGTAAAGCATAATGAGAACGATGGGCACTCCCATGTACAGTTGTAGCTGCTTGCGAGCCTTGTAGACTTTCAGGATAGTTCCATACGAGTTCCGCAGCTCATTGAGAACCGCAGGAAGTCGACCCGAATTCATAATGGAAATTTCGAAGCTGTCTGTGCACGTGGAAACGCAACAATCATCCGGATAATTTAAAATTGCATCTCCATTTGTGGAAATACCTTTGCTTTTTTCGCAATTTCTACCTCGGTCAGGCATCGTGTAGCACTTGCACACTGCACCTCTATGCGACGAGGCGACTGGAATTGACGGTGAAACATCCTCCTTTTCTTCTGGCTGACAAATCCGGTTGCGGATCTTGTTGATAACAGAGTCATATACTGCTTCGAATAGTGAAGTTCCCGACCAGTACAAGCAACAAAAAGTGAGCTTTAATTTAGTGAATGCGGTGACAGTGAACAATTCAGCCACTGACACCATGTTTCCTTCTATCCAGAAATGCAGGATATGAACTGAAGCTAAAAAGATCGACACTGGAATGAGGCCTGCGATTGAAATAATGAAGGAGATTGACTTTTTATGTAGCAGGGACTCGTTTACTCCTTCAAGAGATTGATTCAACGAAATGACGACTAATTTCAAACTTCGTCCGTTAATTTGAATGTAGATGCAGAGGATCAATATAGCTGCAGTATCGATGCATTTGTTCATGTTAAATGCAAATTCCAAAGTGGGCCCGAAGTAAACGCACGATGACATTATTCCCAATGTAGAGACCACAAAATATGCGATGATGATCGTCGATATGCAAATTTTCCACAAGATGCAGTACAAACTCACAGGAGAGAACATACCCCTATCTTCTTCTGGGTCAATAATATTTTTAAGCATCTTCGGTACCTGGCAGTTTGGAGTGTTTCTACTATTCGAAACCACGACTCTTGCTAGACCATCTTTTTTCGAATAGAAAGCACCGAAAAAGCCTAAACTCCAAACCGAAAAGTTAAAAAGTTTTTGCAAGTTGATTTTCATCATTTGTTTAAAAAAATGATTAAATTGCTATTAAATTGCTGATCCTAACGGAATTTCAAACCCGTTTTGAATGCAACTAGAATAACATTATTGGTACGTGCATCACGAAATTATTGGTATGTGCATCACGTGCAGTGAAAGAGAAGTGTCTGCAGTTCGTCACTTGCATTGACTTATATAGAGACCAGAGGTCTTGTCTTCCTTTTTGTCGTGTTTTGACACAAAATTGCTGTCAAAAGGAAGCGATCATTGTTGACCGTACAAACTCTACCACGGAAACAAGATACTGCTTCTAGTCTCATCACGTACAACAGCCAACACCAGGCAGAGATCACAAAGAGATGATCCCGCAATGCTTCAGAAATTATCGTCACTGACTCGGAGTTAAATAAATTTCATATTATTAATCATGTGTTATTTACTTACTCACTGAACTCTATACGGCTCATCGGTCTTCGGTTCCAGCATAATCGTATAAATTTGCTATGAGCAAAAATGATTCACGACTATAATAGCAATATTGAATGCCAAAAAAAATTAAAAAATTTCGAAAAATAACACTTCTTTGAACGCTTTAAATGATACATGGTCGGACTTGGACTCATAAAATAATATGATTCTGCCACACTGAAGCCCTTTCATGCTGACATAACGAGACAATGATGATCTATCGACCGGGGCCCGCTGGCAACACTCACTTTTGGGTATGTGAAAGTCAACGAATGAAAGATTTATTTATACAAAAATTGAATATAATTGGGACGATACAAAATGATATTATTGTTTTTCCTTGAACGATTTCAGGTTCTTTGTTGACTTTAGTTTTCAGTGTTTTAGATATTTGCAGCGAAGACAATACTTGTCCCAAGCTCATGAAACTAAAGGCTTCTATCCCTCTCCATTATCATTTCGGCATCATTTTTCAATCACGATTCGACTACCTATTAATGGTCGTTAGCCTATTTGGCTACAGCCCCTTTTATGGCTGGTGATTCCAGACTTAACTGAGAAATGAATATGATTAGAATGTACCAAGGTCCTCTGTTGAAATAGCTTTCGGCGGCCAAAAAGTTGGCTCTGTACTCGAACGATACGTGTAATTTTCTCAAACAGAACGCTATGCCTGCTAAGCTCGTTGATATCCTGCTCTGACTGCTGCTAGTCACGAAAGTTTTTTGGGCAGCAGTGCTGGTTATTTGTTTGCTTCGAGAATAAACTTCTAAATTTAGGGTAAAAAAATAACCATGCGGCCTCCACTTATGTAGTTCTTGTAACCTTTTTCTGTAGGAGGTTTGGAAAGCTAATTTGAAACTCACACCATCTACGCACGTGAATATTCAACATTGTCGGAGAAAGATTACAATTGGATTTACGATTTGACGAACATGCCAAGTTTCTTGGGCTGAATAATCCTTTCCGAAGTTAAAGCGGTTTATTTTTACATATTTATATTGTACTATATATTTTTATTGATTTTGCCGCAAACGCAATTCAAATTTTAGTAACATTCACGTTCTCTTACTAAACTTTAATGCAATGAAATTCTGCTCAGATTTTAAATGGCTCAATAGATTTTAAAATTTTGTATTAATTCAACGCTTAATCCGCACATCAAATTAATAATAATAAATAAACCCATTTCGTAGAATTGATTAGAATGTGGCTGAAAATTAAAAATAATCGTCAAAAATATAATATTGGATAAATTTACGGTCATAATTGTTCAGCGCCTAAAAGAAAAATTGCATCCGATTATCTGTGCTAATGTTTGCGTAACAAACAATTTAATTTTCTGCGCAAATTGCGTTTGAGATATTATAGCGAAAAACACTACTTACTGTTTTTTACTGCATGAGGTATTTCGCTAGGTTTTATTTTAGAGTAGAAATCTCCTAAACTTTCATAGCTTAGAGAAAATATACAAAAGCTATCATTTGTATCTGTCACAACAAAATACTTATCTTGATGCTGCATATCAATTCGCATCATTATCAAAGATAAGCTTGCGATACTCTAGCTTTGTAATTACAAGACACTGCAGTGAGCCGTGCACCGTTGTATTTGCTGTGTATGAGCGGTCCATCGCCACGGTAAGAATTATCGGAATATATCATATTATCCTAACATTTATATTCAAGAGGTTAATAATGAATTTTTTTATCAATATTACATTATTAGCACTGTTGTGTATAAAGTAATAACAATCTTTACATGCCCGGGTAAGGGATATAGGTTTCGCCTTTTGTAGAAGCACTTCATAATTATATGCTAAATAGGGGTTCCAGAATGGAAGAAATGTGGAAATTCCCTATGAATGTGAAATTATTATTCGTAAAATTAAATTTTGAACTTACCACAAATTTTGTGTAGACATATTTTTTGAGCTAAAACAGCAAAGCTGTGATCTTAAATGGCAATTTTTGCGAGTCCGAAGAAAAAATATACCGTCAGCGCCTGAGGACGTGAAGCCTGACGGTAATTTTACGTCACCACCTACACGAAGAATATTTTTTTCAATTCACTGGCTTGAAGAACCCTTGATATTCTAGCAAAAGTCTTATCAATTAACAAATAAAATCATCTTGATGTTACTTTCTGACGTACAAAATTAGTTATTTATTACTTGCTTCTGAATTATTTTCGAATCAAACACAGTTAAAAATACAAATGGATTTAGCCGTCGACAACTTTCACCTCATATCAAAAACTTTCAATACAATCATTCCTTTTAATTCTACGTTTATAAATTTTAAAGCATCATAAAACGAAGTTTCTGTCGACTAAATCAATATACAGAATACCATATTGTTCACCAGGAGATGCCCGGCGTTTACCAATGCGACGTGTGTGAGCACTACTACAACTCAGCCGAGAGGAAGCCACTATGTCTGCCCTGTGGGCATGACTTCTGCAGGGACTGCCTCTCAAAATTACGCTTGTATAAAGTGAGTATTAAAGACTTGTTTTCTTCTTCTTTGCACAATTCGTAATCGACCGAAAGTTACTTCTATTTAGTCAGGTTGCGTCCGCATCGTCTAAGGCTTTACTCTGTGTGTTTGCGTATGCGTTCTCGGTTTCGCGGGAAGAATATAGCCCAAAGAGTGGGTTTAACAAAAACATTCTAAGTTAACAAAATCACTGGTAAAAATTGGGCCCTTGAACTCAATCGAACTTGAAAATCCATCCATCTACATCATGCAAACTTCTTAATTTATCAGAAACGTCGATACGTTGTGCAGTTCCGTTAAGTATTAAGACTGTAGTAAACGGCCTCACACGAACGTTCGCAGCCGTTCTGTTTACAGCGACCGAACTGCAGCCGTCGCCAGATGTAGTACTGTCGTATTTGTCTTCACAGTTGTAGTATCACCGTTGATGAGGATGTATCATTGTCGGTCTAACCGTAGATTTTATAACGACCGTTGTTTGGAATGGTGGCGTTGTCTTCACTGTATAGATGATGTTGCTCCAAAATCGTTGATGTACCGATACTACCGTTGTACCGTTGCTCGTGACCGTACCGCTACTGATGATTGCCGTGACTCCACCGCATGGATAATCGTACTTGTGATAATTATTGCTCAGTGTTCGATGCGGGAATTTCCTGCTTTATAATCGTTGAACTTCTTGTTGTCTTTCACGTTTTCTCAGGGCCAAGTCCCAGCCGTAGCAAAGATGTCGACAGTACAAAAATCACCTAGTCATGACTTATGACGTTATATCAGAGTTACAGTTGTATTAGATGTAAATTTTGTACGTCTGTTATTTCTACATACGCCAGCCAAAAGCCCATAACATCACATACATACGATCTGCGGAGCTGCAGATCGTTTTTGCGCGACTGTTGAAGAAAATTAACTTTTTGGCGCAAATTTTAGGGTCTTCAGAACATTTTTCTAACCGGTTCAATATTCGTTAAAATAAGAAATTAGTGCCTATGTGATTTTTGGGGGTTTCAATATTATTAGATGTTATTTTATGTTCATTATAATGAATTAAGATGAAACTAATAGATTCTAACTGTATCCAGTGCACTATACATACACTAAGTACTGTCTGCATTGTATTTCATGGAAAAAAACGAGGATTTTTCAGTTTATCAGATTGCTCAACCTGCTAAGAAACAAGTATCTCGCTACATTTTTTTATTTGTTGCTGAATGACAGGTAAATGCAAAAATTTCAAGCTCAGGAATAAATTGACTTCTCAGAGGTTTAAATTATTAAAATTCATAATTAACTGAAATATTTCATTTTCCTAAAATTCAGTTAAATGATATATACTCTGAAACTTTTCCATCTACATAGTTGAAAATTTGTACACCTAATTTTTTAATGGATTTGAAGCTTGCCAGACATCAATCATTTAGAAATTTAAAAATTTTGCCTTTCGAGCCACTCTACTCTTCCTAGTGCCATGGATGATTCTGTACACACTGTTTTTGAATCAACCACACATCAGATTGCTACAACTCACGTCTAAATTGGAAAGTTTTCGGGTAGGGTGGCCATCGGCAGGTTATAGATGTAACATTGGCCGGACACGCTCCCGATGTCTCATCGATGCGCCATCAGTGTTCCGCCTATGATTTCCCCCAACAATCATGAGTGCTCTACCGATAATTTTTTTTGTGTTGCGTGACGGTCATGGAAGAACAACAACCTTTTGGTGCGAATTTAAGAGTACTTATATAGGCAGGCATCGCTCACTCTTAAGCCTACCAATTAATTGGTACGCCGCGCTACGAGCAATAGTTCTGTGTTTCGCAAAAATCACCCCTCGCAATGACCTCAGCTGATACAGAAGTAAACAAAGTCGCTCTCATGTCTGCTACTTAAGCCTTGTGATCAATTCATATCTGTCTTTAATTGCTTAACATAGCTCGTCTCTCCTCTACAGCACACAAGATATATTTATTGAAATTATAATGCAAAATAAAGTAAGGATTTTCTTTTGTCAACGTCCCTTAAAAAAGACTTTTGAGCTACGCACCTCAAACCTGTCTGTCTGTATATTCGTCTGATAGTGTTTTCAAAGGATGGGTGAAATTTGCGTTGATTGATTTTGTATTGTAGACTTGAATAGAACTAACTCGATGTTTATTACTTCTTACAGAATTGCCCTACGTGTGATACGAAATTTACCTGTGACGTAGACAGTCTTCCAGTAATCTACTCTCTCATTCCCAAAAACGGCGAGCAATACTTCAGCTATGAAAGTCAGAAGCCCTCGTCTAGCAATGAAGGCTTCAGGCGTCACAACGAACCCCCTCCAAGCTATGAGAACTCCTGGAAAGATGATTACGTACCTCCTCGTAGCAATGAAAGCTCCTGCCATGAACATAAATTCGTGAGGGAGTTTTGGTGTTCTTCTTGCCACTACAAGATTTGCAAAAAATGTCTCATAGGGAAACATTCGTCGTGCAAAACGATGCTTGTCGAAGACGTCATTAATGACTTCAAATTAGGATCCCCGGTAACTGAGGCCGTCAACGTTCTTAAGCAGAAGCTGGACGTTGATCTTGCAAAGACTGAGGTATTTTTTATTGTAATAAAATCATAAATTGAGAGCAATGAGACAAGCTTTGTTAATAATTATCAAGGATTAATTAGATTGTTAACCGAATCTGAGTAGAAGGTTGTATAATACAAATATTTATTTTACTGTTATAAATCCATTATAAATGCCATCCCTAGAAAAAATCAGCTTTTCTAAACCTTACATTACGACGCACGAGGTTTGTTGGACATTTTCCTTTCGTAATTGATTCTTAATTCACCTCCGACAACTTGCACAATTACTTTAAATGCGTCAATCATTGAATTTCTTCACCGATTGCGAATAAGATTAGGGTATATGATAAGTGTTTAATATATCAAAGCTCTCTTCAATCAGGCGGCCTTAACAAGAAACCGGGATTCTCTTGCAACGGTCGTTGAATTCTTGAGCGTGGTTGAGAACGTCAGGGGGCTATTAAAATCAGAAATAACGTCTCTACAGCAACACAGAAAAGTTCTTACGTCACTCAGTAACGACGTAAGACTTCTGACAGGAGTTCCATATAACTTACGGAATGCTGCTATTGATCAGCACCGTCAGGTGCTTGAATGGTCAACCACTCATCAAATCGAAACTGTCAATCGCAACCAAGAACAGCTGGGTCAACCTCAGCTGAAGAAAATTGCAGAACTCTGCAGTTTTGCCAAATCGTTCAAGGTGGTAACAAAAAAAAACGGTTCTTTGAAATCTTCTGGTAGTGAAATGTTGTCATTTTGCTATTCGTTGTGATCTGAAAAATTTCTCACTTAGATAAAGTCGCTTGACTAAACATTTGAATTTAAGTCATTAGGAATGTCATACCGCGTGAACGAAGTAGAGAATAATCATGCTATCTGTAGAAATAAAAGCGGCCACTTTTATGGCATATTTTTTGGAGAGAGGTGATCCACATTTGCTGTTATTTTAATCATGCGTTGCGAGGAAATTAATATCAAATATAAAAAAGTAAATAAACAATTGGTCCAACAATCAATTGAATTTACGTTCTTTTCAGATGCCCCAGCCCGAACATGACGCAGGTTGGTTTGGAGGATGGGGAAGCTACTTCTACGGGAGAGGTGGCTAGCCAGCCACTGCAAAGGTGGCTAACTAGCCACTTCAGAGGTGGCTAACTAGCCACTGAAGAGGTGACTGACTAGCCACTGAAGAGGTGGCTAAGCACCCACTTTAGAGGTGGCTAAACAGCCACTGCAGAGGTGGCTAACTAGCCACTTCAGAGGTGGCTAACTAGCCACTGAAGAGGTGGCTAACCGGCCTCTGCTGTAAGATGACAATGTTGATACCATTAGTCCCTTGATATTTCCTGATTGATGTCTTCCTTGTTGAAAGATAAGATCCGTCACATGCGATATGTTCATGAGCATTTCCTTGTATTTGCCTTTCCTGTTTATCAAGTCACGCCCTTGGTGACGTCAATTCGCGAAGCTATATGAGCTCTGACCAGACCAGGAAACCCCAGTCTTTGGCCGAGAACCGTCGTGTATACGCCCATACTCCTGTCCTTAACAATCAGGACAGTAACTCTAAATTAATGTCAGAGTAGAAGATACACTCTAGAGTCTAGACTTATCCCTACTTCAACTGGACGCCGAAGACATCAGTGTTAAAGCTCCAACTTATAAACTTATAATCTGATTATCCTAAACTGTAAGCCGAACTATAATCCTAAAAGTATATTATATAATCGTTTACGCTGTCCCTCTATATCCTCGGATCCAGCTACAACCGAACCACCCTCAGGTCATACTTAATTACAATTCATATAAGGGTTGCATAGAAAAGCAACCTGTTACAGTGGTGCTACCGACTAGTCAGCAACATCGTACACTGCCGAGGTGCACTGAAAGCAGGCTTGACACTGCTTGCAATAGCAAATATTTATCCATTTCTTGCTTTCTTTCTTATTGTATTGCTTGCTTATTTCTTTATTCTTGAGCATGAGTAATTTAGATGGCTACAATTCCAAAATAAATTAAGTGAGAACATCCCTTCTCTTTAATTTTCGCCCTGTTTTACTGACATCGAATCACACCTCACCTCAATGGGAAGCTCATGTTATCAGAATAAAGGCATCAAATAATTCAATAATAGTAAGCACCTGCTGACAAAAACTTTTGGAACCTTTTTTATAAATAGGATAAATCTTCTCATCTCCACCATATTGTAAAGAAGTAAAATTATCAAAAACGTATGAGTTGAATCCAATTTCAATCCGCAATCGAAAGCGTTTAACAGATTTGCATGAAAACAACAATGAGACTTAATTTATTTGCCAGTAATTTTTTAAAATAAACTCCAGTCGTTGATTTCCTTCAGTGAATATGAGTATAACATTCTTTAGAATCAGCGTAGTGCTTCTTAATTCAAATTATAAGTGATGCAATTATCGCCGACTCCTCTCCATTGTTTAATCAATTCTAATGAAATTATGCCACCAAGTCAATATGGTGTGGAAGCTTCTCGAATAACGCTTCATCTAGCCATGCAGTAATCATATCAGCATCCTATTAAATGCTCCTGTCCGGGGACGATATACACTGGACACTTCTGGATCCACACTTTCAAAAAAAGTTAAATGATCGTAAGTTAATCAGCCAATCATTGACGGCCTTTCAAGCAAAATCCACCAATCACAGACAAGAAAATAGAGCGTAAGTACTTACGTTCACTTAGCGAATTTTGAAAGTATGGCCCCTGGTCTGGAAACTTGACTGTATCAATAGTCTGAGATAGATCTCTCAAGACTGAGAAAGATGGCAAATGAAAGTATTTTTTAATTCTGCTGTATCCATGCTTCACATATGTTTGCAACAAATCAATGTACAGTATAACGGTCAATATTTCATCATGTAAACTCTCTTTGTAGGAATTTTCAGTACATGTGAATCGAATCTATTGCTTGTTTTTAAGTACGTTGTTCATTGTAACAGACGTATATGAGCAAGAGTCATGTTGTATTGCCGGTAAGGAAGCATATTGCTACGAATATGTTAACATTTTTCGTCATCAAGCACAACGCTAAGTTCTGAGCCAGATTTTTCACAATAGTTGTCTATCAGTTTCCTTAGCTTAACTCCCCACACTAGACAGTGGAGATTAAAATATCAATGTAAATATAATACCTTTATATATGATATATTAGACTTTTAAAATAAGAAATAAAATTATAATATAATATACAATATAAGACCTTCTACTTTTGCGTTCTCTTCTGATACCAAGATCAATAGATTAAATATGCCTAACATCGTGCCTGCGACTATTAGTAGTTGTATAGTAGTAAACTAAAAAAAATAATAAAGGCTTCGTGCTGCCATGAAAACCTCTTAGTTTATTGTTATTGCGTTTGAAAAACTTTAAATAATGGTCTCTGGTTTCGTTTTGCACGCAATGAATGACTAAGAAAAAATCCTAGTATAGAAAATCCTAAGAAAAAATCCTAGTAACAATTTCCTAGTGCAAGAATCAGATAAAAAATTTCCGAAATAGAAGCAGAATGCTTTCTACATTTTTATGTTCTACCATATAAAAACTTAAATTAGACTTGGTTTGCGACAAAAATTGTTCAATGGGCATAACCTTTATGAATATCAAGTCATCAATCAATTCAAATTTTAGAATTATCAATTCATATTATTGATTAGCCAATTCAATAAGCAATCGAAGAGGCTTGTGTTGGACGACGTTCGAAGAAGTAATTCAGGGAGACGTTCTGCAGCAAACAAATGGTGGAAGACACATGGTGGAAGACACATGGTGGAAGACACATGGTGGAAGACACATAGTGGAAGACAACGGAGGTGCGCTGTTTGCAAAATAAATGTCCGAAAAGAATGTTTTAAGTGCAACGTTGGGCTACAAGTTGAATGCTTCCCCGAATGGCATCAGTGAAATTCCACTCATTTAGAAGGTAGTTATTACTTTCATATATTTATTTTGAAAGGAGGATGGGGAAGCTACTCACTTGGATAGAGACGCTCTTGTAATCTAATTTATCTTGTGCTTTTCTGTGATTATAAATAAAGGATTTTGCAATTGGCATTAGAAAAAAGCGCACCATTATCACTAACTCACTTTATAAATTTGGAAATAATAAGAAAGGTGATAAAATTAATTGGTATTTTTTATTACCCAATTGCCCATGATCCCCATTTGGGACATTTTTTTAAGCTACTGGTGCTCTCATTATATCCTCTAAAATTGGGAAAAAGACTGTTTCATGAGGAATATTTACATCATATGAAAGTGTTTAGACGGAAATATCATATATCAAAGATTTGCGCTTAATGGGTTTGAGTGAATTATTGAATTAATCTACCGGTAATCCTGCAGTTAACTTGGTTTCTCACTTTGATACATGACAGATTAGCATGGCGTTATGTGGGAACTTTAAACCTTTCGTCTCTAATAAATTCAAGGTTGTCAATGCTATTCGTATATAGTGATTTGGGATCGAAAAATCCCGTCAGTCACAATAGGGTTAATCCTTCCACTCTGAAGGCGTAGAATACTTGTCTTGGCCTTGTTGAATAATCCGGAAACTAATTAATTCAGTTCTACTCAGAAAGGCATCAATCTTTTGCAATAAACATGCCTTGTAACTACATCCAAAGAAGACGCCTGTCGAAGACCACCAATACCCGGCTTCGAATGGACCATCATGATCCCTTCCCACAAGAACGTAACCTCCAACACTTCTATAGTATTAGATTATCAACCGCAAGCCATCAGACAGCTCACATCCATTGAAGTAGGCCGATCAGTCCGCAGAAAAACAGCCTGTTATAGTGTGGTCTTACATCGTCTGCCAACACGCGAAAAATCCGTCCGTATTCATCCTTTGCATCGAATCAGCCCACGGTCGAACGGCCACTCGTCGAAATACGATTGATTTTGGAACATAACAAGTACCGTTATCATAAATTTCAGCCTGCCAACGCAAGTGAAAAAACTAAATCGCCCAATTTAAAAAAATCGTCTGGCAACCCTGCTGGGGGAACTAAAAATTACGTAATTTAACGATGAAACTGAAGTCATAATCGATCCGCAGCCTAGTGGCCTACAAGGCAGGTTTCATGCAGTTCCCCAGGGGAGCTAGGCTGATTGCACGCAGTCCGTTGTCCGCTGGTTACAGTTCGAGCTACAGTCAGGGTATGAAGTATTGTAGCGATTTAATGTTCAGTAATGGACGATCATTATACTCTAGGCTATTAGCTCTGGTATATGGTTATGTAAAGCTCTAAATATTTCAAACAAGATGCTGTCATAAGCTGGTTAGTGACGGCAGGCTTAATCTACGGTGGTCTCACAGAAAAAAAGGCGTCCCATTCAGGGCTGATTGGTGCGTAAAATTTGTGGCGCACGGCTGCACTCCTTCATCCAAAGCAGAATTGTTGCAGGATTCACGCCCCAAATTCGTCTGTTTTGATTCATGTTGAAATTTGATGTGTAGGTGCATTTGCCACGACAAGAAAGAGCTTATTCTTTCATAATTATTGGATTGTTTCATGTGGATTTTCCAAATTGAAAAAACCATTGAAGCTCATCACTTTTTTTTTTTAAATATTGGAAAATACGTAAGAAAAAGCTAGGATATGAACCTATAAGACAGTGGTTCCCAAAGTGGGCGTTATCGCCCCCCTAGGGGCGGTGGAAAGATTTTGGGGGGCGATAAGGAAAAAGAGGGTGGTAGGGGGGCGGTAGTCCGAAGTCAGTGCCAAAAGTTCGAACGTTTGTTAGACGATTTGTACACAACACGTGCAGCACACGACTCCCAGCGATGGTTTTTTTCTGTTTTTTTTAACCTAGCTCTCCTGGGTTCACGTCTCGGACAAATTAACGGCCGGACTCGAGGCCGGTCTCACGGCCAATTTTCAAATTCAATGATCAAGGAATATCTCTCAAACTAATGAACTTAACTCTATGAAACTTGGTACACGCATTCATTAGGACCTAACGGTAATGTTCTGCTCGTGAAAATTGTTTGAATTTTGCCATCGTTTGTTTTTACCATAGTTATATGGCAATACAGGCCGAAATTCACAGTGATCAAGTAATTTCTTCCAAACTACTGAACAGATTCGAACGAAATTTTGAATTTACAGTCCTAACTACCGAAAGCCGAAAGATAATGTTTAGCTCGTGAAAATTTTTTCGATTGTGCTATCGTTCACGAGTTTTTTTTTCGTTTCACTTTCATTCGTGATTTAAACAGCAATTCGTGCTTAAATTCGCAGTAATCAAGAAATTTTTTACAAACTACTGCACAGATTTGAACGAAACTTAGTATTTAAATACCTAACCTCAGCAACG